GATCAAGCTGTATGTAGATTCTTCCTGTTGGCCCTGTGAGCTGAATTATGAAAGGAAGGCCAAGGGTCAAGTTGGTTAGTCAGGCAAAGGGGAAAGATGAATAAATTGATAAGAAAAATTCTTTTATCGCAATAAAGTTTGATCATAACGTTATTGAAATATAGAATAGTATATTATAGCTAGAAGCGATAAAAGTGCTTCAGTTATTTCCATTAGGCTTCAAAACAGTGATCTCTCCTGGGGAAAATCAAAAAAAGTCATGTTTTTCTTCATTAGAAATTCTTGCGGAACCCAACCTTCTCTAAGAGAAACATCACAGATGCCATCATTTGCATATATGAAACAACACACATGCAAATCAGAAATGGAAAGAGCCAATTGATTTCCCTCCAAAGAATGACATCAGTTTTAATGCTATTTCTTCCATTCCATTCAACAACTTTTATTAAGGCAATAAACAGTTGCTGGGGATATAAGGACAAATGCAAAACTCTGTCTACCCTCCAGGAGTTCACATTCTACTGTCTCTTTTTGAATGAGGTTCTAGTGCCTGAAGGGGTCCCGAGTGGAAAAAGTTTAAGAACCCCTCTATAGTAACTTTACCATATCTCCAAAAAATAGAAGTGATTGTGACATTTTTTGTGTCACATTCTGGGGGACTTGGATGGCAGCACAATTGAAAAACTATCATTTTAGTTTCCCATTTAGAAGTTGAATTTAATTGTTTCATAAAAATGGTTCAATTTTTATCAGCTACTAAGGTGGTAATATGCCACATTCACTTAGGAATCCAAATAGTATCAAAGAAAAAGAAAAGTGAAGGAGACTTTCATAATAGTCCCAGTAAATTACTACTTTGGTGTATTAATTGACAATTTTAATAGATGGGTTTATGTTGATGATAACCTGAGGCTGCTTTCTGTTTATGAGGTAATAATAATTATAACCTGGGAGAAATAATGTACAAAGCTGAATGCCGAGGTGTTTGTTAGCCTAGGATATCATTATTGCTTCATAAATAGGAATCCTTACAAGTCTATTATTATCAACCAAATATGCTTCCTTCATTTAGAAATTAAAGCTACTTCTTGAAATGTATTATATAGAAAAGGAAGTTACTTACAATGGTTCAAGACAACTGGATAGTGTCTTGGACACTCAGTAGTAAATTGGAGTGAAGAGGTCAAAAATCATTGCCCACTTCTGAATGAATACAGCTAATACAATTGCCTGCCATTCTTATATTTGAAAGGAACATATTAGAGAAATAGGGACTATTGTGTGACTCAGAATAACTGATCTGGTTGATCAAGAGCTGACATCATTCAAAAGTCATTGAAATGTCAAAGAAAACATTTCAAAAGTAAAAGAATGATGAAACAATTATAGTAACATTGTATAGGAGAAAAGCGCTTTGTAGCCTTAAACTACTATATAAATGCAAGGTATTGTTAATATTATCATTGTTATTATCTGTAATACAATCATCTTTCTAGGAGTCAAGGTAGTAATTTTAATAACTTAAATATATACAATGTAAAATAAAGGTATATAATTACAGACAGTGAAAATAAGATATCCTATAATATGGTCACTTTCCCACATAGAAATATGAAGAACAAGAAATAGACTCAATGTATTAGAAAGAAGAAGAAATCTCATCAGCATAATACAAGATGATTACAGAAATGCTGGAATGAACAATAATGTTTGAAATTAATTTAGATAACAGCAGATTCAAACTAGTGTAGTTACTATATTATTTGCTTCAGTTTGTGTTCTCTGTTTAAAAAAACTCTTCAATTTTGTTATATCAACAAGCCTACTAAACATACTGAATCTGTATTAATAAATTATTGTTGTAGTACATACAGAATCACTTTAAGTTGTAATGAGAAAAATATAAAACATGCCACCTCTACCTAATAATATAATTTAAAGCCAATGATTAATATAATCTGTAGCATTCTTGCAGCGGGGCGGAGGGACAGGAGGGAGTTGTATATCTGACAATGCCAATCAATTTATTAGAGGCAGCATGGACTTAAGAGTCTGAAGACTTAGTTTTGGACCTGGTTTCCCTACTCATTAGCTGTACTATCTTGAGTAAGTCGCTATATTTGAGGCTCTGTTTCATCACCTATAAAAAAGAATAGTTGTACTATTGACAACTTCTTCAGAGTGGGGAAATCAGATAACAATGTGCCAAAGGTAAATTCAAGATGAGCCAGAGTAATTATGATTATGGTAATACAAAAATTAGGATTTTGGTAAATGATATTACCAACATCAGAAGGGGAAATCATCAGAGAGGAAAACGGTGATTTTGGTTTTGTGTATGTTGAATTTGAAGTGCTGATGGAGATGTTCAACAAGCATTCTCACAATAAAGCTCGAGAGTCTGGGGCTGGGATTCTCGATTTAGAAATGGTCTACATGGAGATGTAAGCCAAACTACAGGAATAAGTGAGATCAGGAAAGGAGAAAAGAGAAGGCTGTGGAAAGAAACTTCAGGAATGTTAACACCTACTAGAAAAGCAAATAAAGAAAAGGTCAGTAAAATAAAAGTTCCCAGATGTCAAAATGATGTACATATACTTAAACACCACATTTCATTAGAATGTGTATTCATAAATTTAAAATTGAATATTCAATCATAAAGGACATATTTATTCACCAAACTAAAGAAACAAAAGCTTAAATAAATTTCAGCATGATATTTATGCAGCTTGCAACAATACAATAAAAAGGTAACATGTAATTAAAACACAATTCCACTCTAAAGATATTTCAAGGATACATTTGATATAATGTGATAGGGAATTGTAGAAAAATGAATTGTATAATCCTCTGAGATCTGCCCCATTGCAACACTAACACTTTGGAATGTTGATTTGTAGATAACAAAGCTTGGAAGGTTAGATAATATGTTGAATTAGGGGTGATAATACAAAAAGATCCTGATAGAAAAGAACATTGTGCCAAATCTAATTAAATGAAAATAAATAAAGACAAATGTCTTGCAGTGGGGTTCAAAAAATCAATTCCCCAAGTTCAGAATGGGGGAGATGTGATGATGGCAATTCATCTAAAAAAGATGGAGTTTTATTGGACTGCCAGCTCAATGTGAGTCAACAGTGAAATACAGTAGTTGGGGGAAAAAAACAACAACAAAAAATTATGGTTGTCTTAGGCTAAATCAAGAGGTATAGTATCCACCACATAGAGAGTGACACTGCCATTGTTCTTTGCACCCATCAGACCATATCTGGAGTGTTGTGTTCAGTTCTGGCCTAAAGAAAAAAAGAATGGAAAATAACAGATACCACCAAGTATTTAAAGGGAAATCATGCTGAAGAGTGATTAAATTTCTTTACCTTGGCCTCCTAGAACAGAACTAAGAACAACGATGGGAAACTGCCAAGAAGATTTAGATTTGAAATAAAGAAAAACTTGCTGCTATCCACCTCCAAAAGGAGAACGAATGAACTCTGAGTGCAAACTGAAGTACATTTTTAAAAATTTTCTTCATTTTTCTTGCTTTTTTTGTGACATTGTTAATATGGAAATATGTTTTGCATGATTTTACATGCATAATTGATATATTGTTTACCTTCTCAATATGTGGGGTAGGGGCTGGAGGAAGGAAGAGAAATTGGAATTGAAGTTTAAAAGAAAGAATGTTAAAAATAATAAACATGAAAAAAAGAAAGGAGAAAAATTTACTAATAATTATTGCTATCCAAAAATGGAATGGAATGCTTTCGAGGTAATGGATTCTCCCATATTGGATTTCTAAGATGGGAGGCTGAGTGATTGCTTCTTCGGTGTATGGTAGGAGGATTTCTAATTCAGATTCAGGTGGATGTTAAAGTACCCTGCAACTCTTAAGAGTCTGTGGCCTTCCTATCGCTATAAATCATTAGGATTGCCAAGCAGCAGTGATGGCTCAATAGGGATTGGAAAGTATGAATTGGTAGTAGGCCTAAGCAGAATGGCTATTTACATGTCATATCCCCCATTGGAAGATATGGTTCATAAAGAGAGTTTTTGGTTTTTGTTTCTTGCTTGTCTATTTGTTTGCCTTTTTTTTTTCTTTGTACCCCCAGCATTTAGGACAATGCTTAGCACATAGTACTTAACTTGACTGACTGACTGGGTACCCAAGTTCTGACTGGTAAACTTTTGCTTTATCTCTTTTCATCAACTTTTGTTTCTTCCTGACTGGTAACCCAGACTCCATCCCTGGATTCCTCAGATCTGACAAGTGATCTTTTGCCTTATCTTCCAGGGGTCTTAAACTGCCTTCCAGGCCTGCTCCACACCATGCTCTGGGCACACTTTCTGCCCCCTCCTTCTTTCTAATTCCCTTTTATGTGTTGTCTTTTCCTTTAGAATGTAAGCTCCTCAAAGGCAGTGGCTGTCTTGCTTGTTTGGATTTGTATTTTTAGTTCATAGAATAGTGCCTGATACATAAAATAAGCCCTTAATAACTGACCTCTCCACCTGTCTGTTGTGAATTTTATAATAATGCTTAGTACCTCAGGCTCTGGGTGTTAGAACCAAGCACAGGGACTTAAAATAAATTTTACCAGTCAGTGCTCCCCGAGCAAGTATACAAGTGCGAGGGCATATGAAACCTGGACATCTCTGAATACATTTAAATGCCTACTGAGAGAGCAACTACTTCTCAAATGTAAAAACAAAAAACAAACAAACACAAAAAATTAGTTACTTTTACCATACCACATTTAAGTTTTACCACACTACTGCTGGTGGTCACATTTCTGTTTTTAAAATCAGTTCCTATGAAATATGTGTGTATACATACATACATACATCATCAGATCACCAATATGAACTTTCCATGCTCTGACAGATAATGCCAATCTAATTGCCTTTTTTCCCACTTAACTGATTGAGTTATTATTGTTATGACTTGTTGTTATGTTAATACAGAAATATGACTGAAGGTAAAGTTTTATATTACTGGTACATACCCAGCCCGAGGATCTAAAGAAAGATCCCTGGGGAATTTCAGTCTTTTGCTCACAAGTATGGTAGGGTACAATCCATTGAGTTTGGATACTTCAATGATCCTTTTTTCTGTGTCAGACCAATAAAGGTTCTTCCCAATCCAATCAACAGCAAGTGCATTAGGAACTGCTGTGTTGTGCACTACCTAACATGAAAAAAAAGATTAAACTTGTTAAAAATACAAATGCTAGAGTAAGAACTGAACAATTATTACTTGATTTTTTTCAAAGATATAGGATGTGTATTCCAAACTTAGAAACTGAATTTAGACAAGATTGAAACCATACCATTTACTTCTGCATTTTTATTTACTTAGAGGTGAGAAATTATCCAATGTGTAACTCTGTTATTACATGGATACATTACAGAGAAGGAAAGAAAGATCAGTTTCCTCAGGGACATTGATTTAAATCTATAGGTGCCTATAATTTATTTATATATATATATATATATATATATATATATATATATATATATATATATATATACATAATTTATATATACTTATATTTATATATATGTAATTTATATATAAACATAATTTATATATATATATGTTTATGTTTATATATAAATTACATATATAAATATAAGTATATATAAATTATATATATACATAATTTATATATACTTATATTTATATATTGTAATTTATATATATACATAATTTATATATATATGTTTATGTTTATATATATGTAATTTATATATATAATTTATAATAATATAATTTAGATTAAGCAGAACTAATGCCAGAAGCAGGAAAGTCTGAAGACATCAGTTACATCCATGAAATGCACACAATAGACTAGAGGATGGAAACAGTCTGTGTTGTATGATCTAATTTTAAGATCAAAACTGGCATCAAGTCCCTACTACTTTCATAAAGGATATGCTGGGGTATGGCCAACTATTTCATAGTTGACCAAGGAAGCAGTAAGCCCTAGGGAAGAAAGATGCATTATGTGCAATTCTGTGGCCTCATACCAGGCTATAATAAAGTTGAGTGCAACAGTGGAAATGTGAAATGTATTCTAATAAAATCATGACTACTTTGTCTAAAACACCCAAGAGTCTTAAAATATATAAAATCAACCTGTATTATTTGATACTAACTTAAAAAAATGCATGACTTTCAGCGGTAAAGTTAAATTTAAGCCATCTATCACAAAGTGAAATATTTAATTGACTTTATTTGGTCTAACAATGTGGAAGGCAGCTAGGTGGTGCAGTGGAAAAAGTACCAGGTTTGGAGCCAGGAAAAAAAAAAAGAGTTTAAATGCAGCCTCTGACACTTATTAGCTGTATGAACCTAGACAAGTCACTTAATCCTATGTGCCTTAGTTTCTTCATTTGTAGAATGAGCTGGAGAAGGAATGGTTAATCATTCAGATATCTTTGCCAAGAAAACTCCAAATACAGTCACAAAGAGTTGGACTGGACTGAACAACAACATCAACATGGAAGGGTGGGGATTGATTGATTTTTTTTTTTAGTGAGATAACTGAATTAATTGGGTAAATATAATCTATGTTATAATGAGTTTCTGAAACATCTCCTAAAACCTTTGCCCTAAAGAAAAACTCACCCAATGTCTTATGCTTTTAAAATAGGCTATCTAAAATAGCTAATTATTACCAAGTTCTTTACACTTAAAAATTGCTTTATAACAGACTGTAATTCACGTCTCCATGGAGCTAATAATCTTTGGCAGAGATTATTTTGCTCTAAAACTCAGGATGATAAGGAAAGGGAGACAGTAATCCTAACTTGACCAACCTTTTCCATATCTGAAGTCGGAATATGAAATTTCAGCATAATTGTATTAATTACAACTTTTGTGATCTAACATATATATATATATATTCAATTATATCTATTTGTTGTGAATGAATTCTCATATTGCTATGTTTTCAATCTAGAACCTTTTCTTTAATTCTGTAATTACCAGTTCTCAAATTCAACTTATTCTGTACTATGTAAATCAAGACAATTGAATCTTGGGCTGTAATTAACTAAAACCAGAAGCATTCATCATGTTTTCTAGGGTTGTAATAAAAAGCTCAAATTATATTTACCCAATTTGATTTTATCTTATCACAGGTAATGTGCCCTAATGAAATATATAAGCATGAAAAAAGTCTCCTATTACCCTTTAAGTGTTTATCAACTCATAATGTACAGATGTGAAATTGAAGCCAATCTAATTCCCTATACAAGTTGGGTCATTACCATCAACTAACATTACCTATTCCATTCAACCATAATAATAACATTATTCTAGTAATTCCATCTCTGTTAGTTTCTAGTTACCTTAATGTCACTTCCATTTAGATACATCCTATTTATCCGGCTGCCATTGGGTCGGCTGGAATCAATCCAATAAATGAACTCTTCTCTGTAGTCAAAGTCTATAGCAATCACATTGTTTAATCCCTAAAATTAAAAGGAATAAATTTAAAATGTGATTTTATTTTGACATTTCATTTCATACAAATATTTTTCCAAAGCATGTTATGAGCTCACAGGTATAATCATATATTCACAAGCAAATGTCATATAATGATAGTCAAAATAAACAGCATTTACCAGCAATAAAAGAACCCAGTGTGCTTAGATCTTTCCATACTACGTATTTAAGATGGCTTCATGATTTATTTAGAAAAGTTATCAGAGTAGGCAACACAAAACTGTGTTACTGAAGATTTAAGGATAGCCTTGCATAGACATCATTTGAAAGACAGGGGAGAAGGCTTAGAAATTTTAGTTTCCCCATATGCTCTTGTCCCAACAACAACACAGATGAACTTTCTTCCCTTTCATGCTTCAAATAGCCCCTTAGGCGATACAGTATCATATTAGAATTTAAAAGATATAACCTTAGGTGTGGATTTGGCCAAAAGGGAACTGGGTAATCATCATCTGATTATTCTACATGGTTGAAATGTGAAGAAATGTCTCCCTTCAGACTAATGGTTATGCATTTTTTAGCAGGTAACACAACAGAAATGCAGTTGATGAGTTTCTGGCAGCTACAGATCTTTGGTTTGGCAGTTCTGCAGTCTGACTGATTTGATTTGGGGATTGTGTATCCAGATCCTGGGCATCTTCTTAGCTACATAGTTGTTCAAATGATTGCTTGGGGGTTATTTTCACTCTAACCTGTTGTTTGGGTTTATAGATTTACCAGCTCAGTGGACTAAAAGATCTTAGGTCAGAGTTTTAAACACATGGACTGGTTTTCCAATGTTCAAGAATGGTTTATGAATATGTAAAAAACTTGTGAATTAATAATTAACTGGGGTGAATGCCAGTGGGCAAAGTCCTCAGTGAAATACACTGTCATGTTACATCAGAAGACTGAGGCTAATTCTAATTAAAGCTAAAGTGGGTGGGCAGCTAGGTAGCACAGTGGGGAGTCAGGAGGACCTGAGTTCAAATCTAGCCTCAGACACTTACTAGCTGTGTGACTACCCGTCACTTAACCCTATTTGCCTGAGTTTCCTCATCTGTAAAATGAGCTAGAGAAGGAAACAGCAAAGCATTCCAGTATCTTTGCTAAGAAAACCACAAATGGGGTAGGGAAAACATCCATATGATTCATCTACAAAACAGTAGGTGGGTAGGGTACCAGTTTCTATTCAAATAGGTTTAGGAATCTCCTGAGGACCAAAAAAAAAAAAAAAGATAGCCAGCAGCTTATCTCTCAGGTTACTAGTAGGCCTTAGGGATCCCAGGAATTTAGATGTATTTTAGAATTTGTCTCAGAGTTTAACTATAAAGATAACTTAAATTTTATAGGGCTTTATAGTTCTTAGCCCTGGACTGGATATAAACACCAAATCAACTATAAAAATTACTCAGTGTTCCAAAATTTTCAATATGGTATAACAGAAAGATTGCTGGGGTTGGAGTCAGAGACCTAGGCCCATCATTTACTTCCTTGACCTTGTGGTAAATCACTTTCTCTGACAGTTTCCTCCTCCACAAAAAAAAGGAATTGCAATATACATAGATATATAATTAAAATATGATTATATTAATACTGTAGAGAGGCTACAATGTATAGAAAGTAAAGAGTTGGTCTCGGGTCAGTAAGTCCTAGGTTCAAGTTCTTCAAGCAAATGTCTAAGCCTATAATTTGCAGAGCAGGTAGAAATTTTTATCCATAGAGAGAATTTCTGCATTCTGAAATAGACTACACCAATGAAATTACAGGTTTATTCTCTACCCTATATGCTTTTTTTTTGTGAGGCAATCAGGGTTAAATGACTTGCCCAGGGTCACACAGCTAGTAAGCGTTATGTGTCTGAGGCTGCATTTGAACTCAGGTCCTCCTGACTCCAGGGCTGGTGTTCTATCCACTGGGCCACCTAGCTGCCCCCTTTACCCTATATTCTTATACTATCTATTTCACAAGATCATTAGAAATACCCAACTATAAAGTAGTTGTTGTTGTTGTTCAGCTGTTTCAGTTATGTCTGACTCTTTATAATACCATTTTGAGTTTTCTTGGCAAAGATACTAGAGTGTTTTTTTCCAGCTCATTTTATAGATGAGGAAATGGAGGCAGATAGGGTTAAATGATTTGCCCAGCATCATATAGCTCATAAGTGCCTGAGGCCACATTTGAACTCAGATCTTCCTAACTCCTAGTGCCTTATCCACTGTGCCACCTAGTTGTGGCAAAGATGTTATAGAAAAAGGGAAGTTTCTGATTTAAAACCTTTCCTATCCAGCTAGGTTTTATGCTGATAGGAGAGAGGATATAATTTTTCACCCTTATATCCCAAGCACATATACCCAAGTAGGTATTTAAGAAATGTTTTCATTAAATGGAATGGGAAGATTTGCATGACTGAAGATGATCCCGAGACTAGAACCAATCATAGGCTAGGGCCTTGTTAGACACTAAATATTCTAATAGCCAAAGCAACTATCTCCTTAGAGTACTTAGGGCTTATTAAGGCATTTCTGATAATATCAGTAGATCAGAACATGATGTTAACAAGGTCAAGTCTACTACAAAACGCCTATATTGACTAGTTAGTTTTATATGAGAAACATTCTGTTCTCCGGTGTCCAATTGCAATACAGAACCAGTGTTGAGCTCCACACAGACACATTACATTTGGTCACAACAAGTAACCAGCCAAGAGTACAATGATGACTCAATGTCTATCCTTCCTTGCTACTGGAAAACCAATTAAATCTGGAGTATCCTTAATGGCAATACCATTTGTGTGACCCTGGAGAAGTTACTTCATCTTCTGGTGCCCTTGTAAACCATTTTAAGTTTCCTAAAGATAGCATATTACTAACAATGGCAAATGCTAACCAATAATCACTGTTCTTCATAAGTCTTTATAAAACTAAAAATGTAGTATTTGGATACCTTAGCCATGCACACAATAAACACACAAGAAAATCTTTAGATCAAACTTGGGCACTAAGTATATAGGTTTAATGAAAATTCTAAATTATAACCAGTGTATTTCACATAGATTCAAATAATTGATTATAGAAGCGACCTACAAATATCAATGCTCTCTCTATTGCAATGGTCTCTCTCTCTCTCTCTCTCTCAGGAGGAACAATTTCACAGTGAAAGTTGTGAGGCCCTAAAATGAGACTATATTAGAAACACATATAATAATTCATAGAACTTCAGCAAATAATTGCCTATGGATGACAAAATTGTACTTCTTCTTTCTTTATATTAATGAATTTAGACAATGAAAAGCCAATTTGAATTTGACACATAAACTTTAACTGAGGCCACAAATACATGTGCAAAAATTTATACTGTGAATATATATGTGTATGTGTTTGTGCATATACATACACATATATGTGTGTATGTGTATGTGTATACCTATATGTGTATATATGTATTGTGCATGTGTGTATACATACATATCTATACATATATATGTCTTTCCAAGCAACTAGATGACACAGCAGATAGAACATTGTACCTGGAGTCAGGAAACCTGAGTTCAAATCCTCCTTCATTCACTAACTAGCTATATGACACTGAGCAAATCACTTAACCTCTGTGTATCTGAGTTCCTCAATCTGTAAAATAACAGCACCTAACCACAAGGGCTATAGTAACAATAAAATGAATTAATATTTATAAAACACTTTGCAAACCTTCAAGCGCTAGATAAGGGCTAGCTATTATAATCATTACATATATATATGAATTTATAATGTAAATATATGTATATACACACATATATACTAGGCCACACACACCACACACACACACACACACACTCCTATTTCACCAAGCTTGTCAATTTCTTCAGAAGTTTTATTCTTAATAGTATCCACAGAAAAGAAGAGTGCATTGTTCTCTTTATGGAATAGTAGGGAAGATACATTAAAATAGCTAGGGGGCATGGCCAAAGTAATGTCTGAAAGCTGCTGTTATCCCAGTGGTTTCAGAACTGAAAATTGGTTTCATCAAAATCCTATTTGCTTCTCTCATTTCTTTAGCTGAAGATTTGCACCCTTTGGTTCAAGATGATTAATTTGGGAAATTGTGTTGTGTTTCTCCACACAATTTCACTAGAATAAAAGGTACTGTTTAAATTGAATTGGTTAGCATTTCTGAAGCTACTTGATTAATTCTTATTCAAAAAAACCCTATGCTATTAAAAACACATTTTCTAAACTTGGTGTATATATTTAAGGTCTAGCGTACATAGATTAAAAAAAAAACTATTCTTTAGAATAACCTCCTTAGGGTTTAGAGGTCACCTTTGATTCTAAAAGGTTGTTACAGTGAATCAAAAGTCTTGGCAGTTGCTGCCAAACTGGTAACCATTAAAAATAAGCATAGAGGCAAGCCCTGTGTCTATCTATTAAGGACCAGTCTATCTAAATCCAAGGAGACTCACTGCCAAGGATTCTCCTTGAGAGATGGTCTCAATGCCAAAAGAGTATCTGGGTTTAAGGCAGCCAATCAGCACAGCATATACAGGACTGGGGTGGGGAAGATCTGAGTTTAAATCCAACCCGAGAAACTTACTAGCTGTGTGTGATGCTGAATGAGAAACACAGTTTCTGTCTGGCTCAGTTTCCCCATATAAAATGGGGATAACAACAGCTCCTATCTCTCAGGGTTGTTGTGATGATCAAATGAGATATAATAATTGTAAAGCAGTTGTCACAGCATCTGGCACATAGGACATGCTATATAAATGCTTATTCCATGCCTCCTCTTCTAGCCTCCCCTCACCTTACCCTGAGCAAACGCTAGCCTGCAACTTTTCTCACTTAGGTCATAGTAACTAAGTTAATTGCTATTTATGCAAAAAAATAAAAAGGGTTAATGAAACATGATTTCATTTCTTTCAGGATACGTAGAAAAAAATTGGGACTGGAAAATATATTTACTTTTTATGATGCATAATAGTCATTTTATACCTGTCATCTCCATATTAGACTTAGTTCAGTAAGAGCAGGGATCATATTTTATTTTTCTTTGTGTCCCCACACAGACATGTGAACCCTAATTTACTGTCAAAGTTTCTACATTAAGGTTAAAGAAAAAGTGCATACATTTTCCAAGTTGTGACAATATTTCTTGCTTCCCAATGGTACATCAGGAAACAAAACCAAATCAATAAGCATTAAAAATCAGTCATGATCATGCCACTGTACCTGTTTCAACAGTGTATAATTGGATCCATCAGTGCTAATTTTTCTTATTTCATGATGGTCTGCAAGAATTAAGAAGGGCTCTTCATCTAAATCCATGGGGGAAAAAAAGAATATATTAGACTAACTTTGTTAACATTGTTAACTTTTTCCCTCTGCTTTGACTGTATAAATACAATTATGTAAACTTTAAAATCTTAAATTATTAGTCACAAATAGATTATCCCACAGTCTGGATACATAGCAAATTGTAGAGAAATGTAAGTGGCCCAATGAACTTAAAGCATACAAACAGGTAATTTTAAGAAAGACCTGACTAGCACCTAGTAACAGTCAATCTATCATATCTCTTTTTCATCACTTACCTTGATAATTAGTGGATTTAAAACTAATTATTAAAAACACCATGGTTTTCTTTGGCTAAAATTTGACCTGATTGGATCTATAAACAGCATCTAATGCATACCTCACCCTTGAGGCAGATTCACAGCCCAAGACAAGTGATAGTCACTTTTATTTTTCTATATATTTAGAAAAGAATACTCCACATTTGGCTTAGTCACCCACAGAAATGTCTTACAGTCAGGAAATGTGTCCTTTAACCCTTTAAAGTTACTTTTTTACCTAAAGTTTTGATTTTATTCTCATTAGAGGAATAGTAGTATTCCTGAAAGTTTTCCATTTTCTTAAGGATGATTATCAAATTTCTTTAAGCTTTGTCTCCTCGAGGCTTCATTATCACAATTCTTTTCTTCCGGAGTCAAATTTTCCAATTCTTTGATCATCATGGTTTCCTTTCACCCTATCCTAGTTTTGTAAATTCCTTATTTAACTGTAAAACCTAGAATTAGATGAGATAAAGATTTGACAAGTCCCTAAATATACTGTCAGGTTTTCTTTAGTCCTCTCATCATCTAGCCTGACTTCCTAGACAAAATTTATTAGCATAATAAATGGGTCTTATTATTTGGGATACCATTTGTTTGGACAAGTAGTCTAAAAGCTAGTTGCTTTCTCTTATGGAGCTAATTTATGCAAAATGAATAATTTATTTACTTAGCTAAATTCCTTTAGTTTTAGAGCAGATACTGCTGATATTGATGAGAGTGGCATGCTAAATAGAAGATCTGATCTCAGTATCAGAAAGTCCTGAGTTCAGCTCTAATACATCCTTACTATATGACCCTGGGGAAGTTACTTAATCTTTTCATAACCAAAGGAACTTTCTAAGACTATAAATTGAAGAAAAGCATCTGGTCTTCAACAGTAGAGAGAATTTCGTTGTATCAATGAAATTTCTATTTCAACCTCCCCCAAAAAATGTATAACAGGTTTTGTTTTATACTTTGCAAAGCATGATATATAGTTTATTAGTCCCCATTTCACTTTTTAAGGTCTAGACTTTTTCAATAAAAAAATCAATAACATTTAGATAATTCCCCAATTCTGTTTTTTCACAAACAAAACATGTTTTCCTTCAACAACTAAGCATTTGAGCAATAGAAACTGATGCTTCACGCATGGTAATTTGAAATGCAAGAGATGACAAACTTCTCCCAGTTATTCATATTGGAGGATATCTATGGCATGGGCAGATTATTCACAAGCCTCCAGTTTACTCATAGCTTTCCCCAGGGCCATCCACAAAACTTTTATGCAAGCTTACACGAAAGAGCAAATTCAAATGGTTCACCTCCTTCCCATTTCTGATTCCACAATATTGATAAAAGTGCTAGCAGGAAGGGGAAAGTAGTCACAAACAGAACGGGAGAACAGAAAATCAGTGGAACTGGAGAATACACCAAACAGTTGTGGGGATAGCCCCAAAATAACCTAGAATGTAAACAATTCTAATCGGAATGGATTTTTCCCCCTACTGATGGACACAGCTTTGTTACCTAGTCAAAAACAGTTTCTCAGCTCTATTCTTTGCAGATTTCCAAAAAGGAAATTTTCCTTTAAAGCAAAGGTAGAGCCAATCTACTTCATGATTTAGCTTGTCAATGATTTAACATGAGTTACTAAAGCCCCTTTTTGTTTTATCACACACAAAAGTAAGGCAAGACACATTGTCACAACTCTGTTTTCTGATGGGGCAAAAAGCGAATTGGGCATTACAGTTCAGAGCCATGTCTTAGTAAGCTGTTTAAAATTCTAGGCCAAACATTCCCCGGAACATGTGACATAGCAGAGATGCCAGAGATACTTCTTTCTGTTGCTTCTGAGTACTCCCAGAGTCCAGTGAGCACTTAATAATTCAAAATATCATAATACACTGTAATTATGCACAAA